GCCCCCCAGCCGGCTCTCTCGGGCTGCTGGTTGTGCTTCATGCAAGTGTTTTGGGCCGAGCTCTTTGATCATCTGTGTCCCTCCGTCCGTCCGTCTGTTTTGTTCCATCATCTGTCTACCTGCGTCTTTCTGTCTCCCTGCCTGTCCATTGTCTGTCTACCTGCGTTGGTCTGTCTGTCTCTGTCTATTTATCTGTGTCTGTCCATCTTGTCTGTCTATGTCTTTCTGCCTATCTGAGCTTGCTTCCCCGAGGAGGGCAGGGAATTAAATAAATACATAAAAATCGGTGTCTTTCTGTCTACCTGCCTGTGTTGGTCTGTCTCTCTGGCATCTGTCTCTGGCTGTCCGTCTGTCTGTCTGGCCATCTCTGTCTCTGAGAGCCAGTTTGGGGTAGTGGTTAAGTGCGCGGACTCTAATCTGGGAGAACCGGGTTTGAGTCCCCTCTCCTTCACTTGCACCTGCTGGGTGACCTTGGGTCAGTTACAAGTTCTTTCAGAGCTGTTCTTGAAAGGGCAGTTCCGGAAAGAGCCCTCTCAGCCCCACCTACCGCACAGGGCCCCCTGAGAAAAACATGGGCCCCCTGAGCAAAAAGTTGTTAGCTACGAGCCTGCTGGGGCCCTTCTGGGGATCCCCATGGTGGAGGAGCTGTGAATTCTGATGCAGGCTGGTCTCTGTCACGTTGCCAACTCTGGGTTGGGAAATTCCAGGGGATTTGGGGGTGGAGCCTGGGCAGGGGAGGGACCTCAGTGGGGAACAATGCCCTAGATTCTTCTACCCTCGGAAGCAGCCACATCCTCCGGGTTCAGTGTCGTAGGTAGTGTCGGATTAAGATCCCAGAGACCCAGGTTCGAATCCCTTCTCTGCCACAGGAGCTGGCTGGGTGACCCTGGGCCAGTCACGCACTCTCAGCCTAACCTACCTCCCAGGGGGGAAAGAGCCAGAGTCCACAGGAGCACCTTAAAGTCTGACGAAATATGTGGCAAGGGAAGAGCTTTCCTGAGTCACTGCTCACCTTTGTCAGGTAACTGAAGAAGGGAGGAGTGAATGACAGCCCCTCCCTCGCTACAATTTTTTTAGTCTTGACTGTGTTCCCTCAACACTGGGAGGGCTTCTGGTGTCCTGGCCCCACTGCTGGACCTCCTGAGGACACCTGGTATTTCTGGCCACTCTCTGACAGAGTGTTGGACTGGATGGCCCATTGGCCTGATCCAACATTGGCTTATCTTATGTTCTTATGTCTGGGATGCTCTATATTCTTGGTGCTTTGGGGGGGGGGTTAATAGTGGGAGGGCTTCTAGTGTCCTGGCCCCACTGCTGGACCTCCTGAGGACACCTGGTATTTCTGGCTACTCTGTGACAGAGTGTTGGGCTGTATGGGCCATTGGCCTGATCCAGCATTGGCTTCTCTTAGGTTCTTATGTCTGGAGCAAGGGATGCTTTGTATTCTTGGTGCTTGGGGGGGTGGAACAGTGGGAAGGCTCCTAGTGTCCTGGCCCCACTGCTGGACCTCCTGATGGCGCCTGGTATTTCTGGCCACTGTGTGACACAGAGTGTTGGACTGGATGGGCCACTGGCCTGACCCAACACTGGCGTCTCTTGTGTTCTTATGTCTGGGGCAAGGAATGCTCTGTATTCTTGGTGCTGGGGGGGGGCAACCGTGGGAGGGCTTCTGGTGTCCCGGCCCCACTGCTGGACCTCCTGGTGGCACCTGGTATTTTTGGCCACTGTGTGACAGTTTTGCACTGGATGGGCCATTGGCCTGATCCAACATTGGCTTCTCTTATAGTCTTATGTAAGGCTGTTAACATGAGGACGTTTTGGACGTCATACATTCTTAGGGCCACCATAAATGTCTTGACAGTACTTAACACACACATATACACACAAAATAAGTAAATCTGTAGTCTGGGAAGGAGCACCAGTGAGAAGAAGTGTGTCCAGCATAGAGATATAAAATTTCTGGAAATTTTGAAGCTCGGGAAAAAACGGAAATTTTTGGAAAACTACATTAGTACTTCTTTTTATTTTTCCAGATTGAAGGTCATTCTGTTACTTTAGGAACATAAAATATGACTATGGACATTTTTACTTCACGTGAAATTACCACAACTAGCCTATTAAAAATACAGTGTATCCAAACAATTATTATAAACAGAATACCCACACACATGCAAAAACAAAACTGAAACCTTTTTCTTTTCTTGTAACAATAGCACCGCCTAAAGGAAGAAATGCCTCTTCTTGCATTGGAGAGTTCAGTTTGCAACCTAGGACTTGCTTGTCCTCAGTGCATAGAAATTAGATCAATCTGATACCATACGTATTTTTTAGAAATGATTTGGAAAATATTTGAACACCTTGTCTTAAAATATTTTATTCATCGTGTTAAAATAAAATGTTCCATAATCAATTTCTTTTCTTTTCTTTTTTCAATTTTTCCAATTTTTTGGAAAAAAACAAAAAAGGCTTCAGGAAAAAACCCAGTTTCCCCCCGAATTTTTCTGGTTTTTTCCCCGGGCCTTCACATATCTCGTCCAGCGTGGAGGACTTCCTGCTGCATGTCCCCTGAATGCATCTCTTCTTCTTGGTGTGCTCTGGTGGCTTGAAAGCCAACTGTTTGTATCGAGAATCTCTGGGGCCTTCTGTGCGGTCTCGTCCCACCGCTTGTAAAGAGACGGAGCATCCCTGACCGGCAGCCGTCAGGCTTCTGCCTGAAGGACCCCAGCAAGGGAACCCGCCCCTGTAAGCTGGTCCCATTGCTGATGCGCTCCTGGCATCGGGACTGTTTTCTTGATGTTCACCTGAAGTCTGCTCACTAGCAGTGCTCCCTCTAAACTGTGGAGTCCTGTGAGCAAAGACTCTGCTTTGTGAGCTAACTGGCATTAAAGGTATGAGTGAGCGATTTGGCCATTGCATAAATCAGTTGGCTCTGGAGCCATCCCTTCCTGAGCTTGGACAAAAACGTGTGAGCCGGAGGCTAAAAAGCGGTGAGCTAGCTCTCAGGAAAAAACCCAGTTTCCCCCCGAATTTTTCTGGTTTTTTCCCCGGGCCTTCACATATCTCGTCCAGCGTGGAGGACTTCCTGCTGCATGTCCCCTGAATGCATCTCTTCTTCTTGGTGTGCTCTGGTGGCTTGAAAGCCAACTGTTTGTATCGAGAATCTCTGGGGCCTTCTGTGCGGTCTCGTCCCACCGCTTGTAAAGAGACGGAGCATCCCTGACCGGCAGCCGTCAGGCTTCTGCCTGAAGGACCCCAGCAAGGGAACCCGCCCCTGTAAGCTGGTCCCATTGCTGATGCGCTCCTGGCATCGGGACTGTTTTCTTGATGTTCACCTGAAGTCTGCTCACTAGCAGTGCTCCCTCTAAACTGTGGAGTCCTGTGAGCAAAGACTCTGCTTTGTGAGCTAACTGGCATTAAAGGTATGAGTGAGCGATTTGGCCATTGCATAAATCAGTTGGCTCTGGAGCCATCCCTTCCTGAGCTTGGACAAAAACGTGTGAGCCGGAGGCTAAAAAGCGGTGAGCTAGCTCACACTAACTCGGCTCAGAGGGAACACTGCGCACTAGGTAGCTCTCCTCTTGCTTCCTCAAGCAGCAGAACTGGTCTGTGTCCTCTGGCGTGCAATAGCCTTTTGGGGATCTGAAGAGCCCGGCTGCGGCACCTCTCAGTCTCCTCCAGACGAATCACACATCCCCTGCCTCACAGGACTTGTTTTCCAGACCCCCAGCCAGGCCACCCCGGAGCCAGGATATTGTGACTTGTGGGGCAATTTTTTTTTCCTGGTGGGGCTGCTGTTATTTTTCTGTCTGTACCTGATTTGGGTTCAACATCGGTCTTTCTCAGCCCCCGTTGAAAAGGTAGTGATCGATAATATTACTGTCCCACCCTTCCTCCAAGGGAGTTGTCTGCATCATATTATCCAATTTTATCCTCATCCCACCTGCTTGGGGGATGAGAGGCTGAGGAGGATTTGCATTAGACGATATGGTGGGCTTCTTGGCTGAGCAGGGATTGGAACTCAGGAGTACTGCCCTGTCTTGAGAGCCAGTCTGGTGTGGTGGTGAAGTGCGCGGACTCTAATCTGTGAGAACCGGGTTTGATTCCCCCACTCCTCCACTTGCACCTGGCTGGATCGCCTTGGGCAAGCCATAGTTCTGCCAGAGCTGTTCTCTCAAGGGCAGTCCTCGAAAGAGCTCTCTCAGCCCCACCTACCTCACAGGGTGTCTGTTGTGGGGAGGGGAAGGGGACAGAGATTGTAAGCTGCTCTGAGACTCCAAGTGAAGGGTGGGGTATCAATCCAATTTCCTCCTCCTCCTCCTCCTCCTCCTCCTCCTCCATTATATAACATTGGCTCACTAAAAGGCTTCCTGAACAAATTTAGAGTCCGGTGGCACCTTTAAGACCAACAAAGATTTATTCGAGGTGTGAGCTTTTGTGTGCATGTACACTTTTTTCAAATACAATGGAAAGGAAGCTAGAGCTCAAACTTATAGACAGAGGCTCAACAGCAAATTAAGATGTTAACATGATGAAGATATGCATGTTTTAAGATATGCAAAGACAAAACTAAACAACGAGCTAAGGCCAGAAAACGTGTGTGTGGGGGGGAGGTATGGCTATTTGTGCCATCACATTCTGATCCACCATTATGCGACCAGACACAACGGCGGCGCACCGGGGTTTCGTCCTTTGGTGTTGCTGCAAAGAGGACGGCCGGAGGGAATAGGCGCATGCCGGCGCAATCACACCGAACGAGTCTGTCTGCAGCCCGTGGTAAACCATTTGCTAGTAGATCTTTGCAGGTACTTTTTAACTGCGCATCTTCAGCGGGATGCCACGGGTGCGCTCCGCTTTCCAGATGCTGCGGTGTGATCGCGCCCCGAAAATCCACCCAGCATTTGTGCCTTTTGCGTGGCAAATTCTCTGTGTG